AATGAACGAGTTTGGTTTTGTCATATCACATGACATTTCCCGTCACATGTATTGCCCTAACACATTGTTAGATGTTAATCTGGGACATCGAGTGTGAATTGGTGAAAAATTAAAAGGGTGTTTTAATTTATCAATTTTGATTAGATCAAAATAATATTTCATGTCGTTAGGCACCGTGATCGGGAACCTGATGGGTCACACACAAAAGAGAATTGAAAGATTACAATTTGTCAGTTAATTAATTTAACAATCGTTTGATAAATTAATTAATTGGGTTGGTTATTTATAGGTCCGAATTAATTAATTGAATTAATTAATTCACGGATCAGATTTAATTAAATAGATTAATTAAATATTAGACCAGACCAGGCCAAACCCGTTTGGGCTTATAGAAATATATGACTAGGGTTTTCAATCCATATGATTTTTCTCATAATTATTCTTGCTAGCACAAGAGGAGAAAACCCTGGTAGTTGCAATTTTGTTCTCTGTGTAGATCACCGTTGGAGGCTGGACAATTGGACAGCTGTGGATGGCGAATCAATATTGTAGGAAAAAAAGAAAAGCAAAATGTTGCAGAATTTTTCAGAGATACAATCTTTATCATGATTTCTATCTAAACACAAAGGGATTCTCGGTGGGAATCGAAATAATTTTAATTTTTCGCTGTGCATGTATAAGTAGATTCCCAACATTAATTACACAAACAATAACTAACCTTTTTCTACATTGTATGCAATTTATTTTTTCAAACCTTTTTGTGCAAATTCTACGATGCTGGACAACAATCCCGTAAAATTAAATTTAATGTCTAATGCGTTTATTTAAACTAACAAAACGCAGACAAAACACAAACATTCACAACTTATTCATGGGTCATCACCATAATTAGATATCAAAGACTTAAGGTATATAGACGGAAAGAGGCCTTCTTGAGACTTCAGTTGTGGTAGGGCATCGATGGAAGGAGGACAGGTCTGTGCTGGTCACTTTGCAGTGGTGCACAATCAGAGCAAGGTTAGAACTTTTTTGATATCAATCAGAACTAATTAGTTTCCTCACCATATTAGATTATTAGGTACAAAAACTTATCACTAAAGCTAGTGATGAAATTAAGAAAAGGAGATGACACACGTTCAAACATGCATTTCAAATAATATGTAGCTGAAAGCGAATGATGTGAATTATAAGTGATGGTGGGGATGTCCAGCACAAGGACTCTAGAACTCACTACTAAAAAGTAGTAAGAAATCAATGTGAATGTGAGAAAGTAAACCTACAAGTTGATCCAACCAAAGACCTTTTTCTCCACAATTTTTGAAAAACAATACTATGTGGAAATTTACAGGGATGAATAAGACCAAAAAATTCTTGGAAAATAGCAGTCTGCCTTAGTAATGCACCTTATTCTAACTAGTTCCTGTTAAATATGTGTCTCAAAATTTGGCAATCTTGGGTTTTGGAAAGAAATCTTGTTAGAGCCATATGGTTTTAGGAAATAATCAATAGGATTCAAGAAATATGGAAAGAATCAATTGGATTCCAATATTAGGAATGAAACAATTTGAAATCATGAAGAAAGGAAAGAAAAATGTTGAACACGTGACACGTCTTTTTCTTAATTTTTTTCCTAATTTTATATTTTTCCTAGTTTTAGAGTTTGACTCGTGTACTATAAATACGTGGCTCCTCTTTCAGTTTAATTGAAGCCAATTGCCGTAATTCTCTCATTTCATTGTGATTGAATAAAATAACAGTGTTCCTTTGCCAGTTCCCTTTTATTTTACATCTTTTACTTTAATCTTGTTCTTGGTTATTTTGTGATCTTTATTTATACTTCATATTGGGTTCATTAAATCTCAATTCTTGAGTTGTCTTCATCGGTCCCAACAAGTGTTATCAGAGCAAGGTTGCAAGTTCTTCGTGATTTGATTGAGGTTTTCAGAGATGGCTTCGATGAAGTATGATATTCCGCTACTGGATCGCAATACAAGGTTTACGCTGTGGCAAGTAAAGATGAGGGCTATGTTGACGCAGATGGAACTTGATGATGCTTTGCTGGATTTTGAGAAGATTCCAGCAAAATTGGTCTATGGAGGAGAAGCAACAGAAGGATATGAAGGCTACATCATTGATTCATCTTCATTTGTCCAACAATATACTGCAGAATGTCTTGAAAGAGAAGATAGCGGCTGCTTTGTGGCTCAAATTGGAACAGTTGTGCATGACAAAGAGTCTGACGAACGAACTGACTCTAAAACAGAAGCTGTATTCCCATCGCATGGTGGAGGGAGGGTCAATACAGGACCACATTGCTGTGTTCAAGGAGATTGTTATAGATCTGGAGACGTTGGAGATAAAATGTGATGAAGAGGATCTGGCCTTGATCCTTTTATGTTCGCTACCCAGTTCTTTTTCATCGTTTCGTGGTACTATTTTGTATAGTCGTGACACGCTTACCATTGAGGAGGTATATGAAACTCTGTTCTCAGAGGAGAGGATGGAGTTGTTGGTTAGAAATCCTACATCTAGGGGTGGGATGCTCTTGTTACTCATGGTGATCGACGGAGGGGTAGATCGAAGGTGAGGTACAACAATGTGTATTGTTATTACTGTAAGAAGAAAGGACACATCAAGAAAGATTGTGATAATTTGCAGGGTAAAGGTAATTTACATACAAATCATTCGGGGCAATCTTGTAATTCAGATGAAACCAATGTAGTTGAAAATTTTTCTGATGATGGAGATGTGATGTTGGCTATATCTAATGGGGAATCCAAACCTGAGGAGTGGATTCTGGATTCTGCATGTTCGTATCATATGTGTCCTAATAGGGCATTATTCCAGACATATCAGCCGATGAAGTAAGGTGGAATTGTCATGGGAAACAACCAATCTTGTTGGGTTGCAAAAATCGATCGGGTTAGATTGAGGCTACAAGATGGGACAGTGAGGACAATTGATCAGGTTCTCCATGTTCCAGACTTGAAAAAGAATCTCATATCGTTGAGTACCCTGGATGCAAAAGAGTATAAATTTTCTGGTGGAGGTAGAGTCCTGAAGGTTCAGAAAGGTGTTCGGGTTGTACTGGATGGATAGATGAGATCCCAGCTGTACATTTTGCAGGGAAGCGCAGAACCAGTTCAGAGACATTTGAACAAGTTTAGTACCGTGGTGAAAATTCAGTTTGGTACATTACCTCTTGTGTTAGGCTCTGGGTCAGTTTCGAACTTTGCTCGTGGGAGTGTTGGTGATTCTGCTTTGCCACCAATTTCAGCAAATACACTTTGTTCTTACTAGTGGACTCATGGAGCATAGGTTTAGTGGTGTCAATAATGTCTGTAATGCTTTAGGGATAGTTGAAAGTGACATTTCTAGCAAGGGGCCTTCTGATCGTGCATTTGGTGTGGTTTCTGCTATAGGGTGTGCTTCGACCCTGTCTAGTGATTATTAATTCTAGGTGAAATTTTGGGAACCTAGGTTTGGGTTCGGGTGTTACTTGTGGACGTCGGGTGGGGGAACATGGTCTCGTGGAGAGTTTGGTTACTGCGTTGAGGAGTTTGGTTATTCTGATGCAGATGGATCATTTCTCAAGGTGGAGAAATTTGGAGCATCTTTCATTGCACAGGAATTTCTAGTGAAGGTGGAGATTGTTAAATATGTGTCTCGAAATTTGACAAGAATTTGGCAATCTTGGGTTTTGGAAAGAAATCTTGTTGGAGCCATATGGTTTTAGGAAATAATCAATAGGATTCAAGAAATAGGAAAAGAATCAATTGGAATCCAAGATTAGGAAGGAAACAATTTGAAACTGTGAAGAAAGGAAAGAAAATTGTCAAACACGTGACACGTCTTTTTCTTTTACGTGATTTTCTTTACGTGATTTTTTCCTAATTTTTCGGGATTACCTAGTTTTAGAGTTTGACTCGTATACTATAAATATGTGGCTCCTCTTTCAGTTTAGTTGAAGTCAATTGCTGTAATTCTCTCTTTTCATAGTGATTGAATAAAATAACATCGTTCCTCTACCAGTTCCATTTTATTTTGCACCTTTTACTTTAATCTTGTTCTTGGTTATTTTGTAATCTTTATTTATACTTCATATTGAGTTCATCAAATTTCAATTCTTGTGTTGTCTTCATCGGTCCCAACAGTTCCAACTTCCAAATGAAAGTTTGATCCTTAGAAGCGTGTCTCTCATCTTTTATAAAGTTCAATAAGTTGAGACTTATTTGTCCCTATACTTAGTATAATTTATAGGAAACTGAGAAGATTATGTTTTCACTTAACTACACATTCATATAAAAATTAACAGGATCAAGTTGAGATTTAATAACTATGACAAGAATAGTAGAACACGTAGAAATTCATTTACACAATGGTAATGAAAGTTGTTTAATTGCTTCTATAACAGTAATGTCAGCGATGACTTCATATAAGTAGCCTCTCACAAGAGACATATAATCACATCTTTAAGCTGTCTTAGGTCTTAGAAATTATATTACACACTTGAGGTAATTTAATGATTCTTAACAATTCCATAGACACTATGCAGTCTGCATTGCTAGTCTAGAATATCAACGTTAATCTAAGTAAATTCTTTCAATTGTTCCTTCTAACACAGCCCATAGAATTTAAATACGTTAATGATCGGGAGGTTTACTCTAAAATTTATCTTCAAACAAATGTCATTCTGAATTCCAACTTCCCCAATCTATAATTGTTTTGACAGAAAGAAGAGATACATAAGTATAGAAGTCCATAAACACATTGTTGCATCAAATAGCCACATAACATTAATGATCCATCCATTAAATTGGTATAATTTGATTATTATTCTGGTTTTATTGATTAAGGCATTAAGCTACTGCTATTTTTTTCCTCTTGAAATATTTTACAGTCGCGCTACGCGTGTAGAACCAATCTCACAGAGGGTTCACAGAATCATGTGGCAAGTGGGCCATTTTTCTAAAAAGTATTACTAATAAAGGCAAAAGGAAAAGGAAAAATGGAAATGCATTATGTCTGTACTGTAATCCCAATTCTTTCTCCATTTGGAACCCTAGAAATTGATATCACGTGAAGGGGAATCTCCAGTTCAACTCTGTCCAGCGCCGCACTCATCCCCAGCTTCGCCCATTGCCTCAGTCCACAACCCACAACCGTCGTGACATGCATCGATCTTTGAGGTGACGATAATTACTTGGAGAACACTGTATGTCCTTAAATTTGTAGACACGAAGTAAGTTTCTTTCTAATCTCATTCAGTTTGTGAAATCAATATCCTAAGTTATTTGCATATTCATAATGGAAATGATACTTAGTTATTTGCATATTCATAATGTGCAATCGGCATAGACAGTGGCTGCTCTCTCAGGAATCCGATGGGTGTGAGTGGGCTTGAATTGGGAGATCTTGGCTTCAATTGGTCCACGGTTTGAACTGTGAAATGGGGTGCAATTGAATTTTGTTTGGATATTATTGATAAAACTGTACAAGAAAATAAGAATGCATTTATAATGCATGGACATTAATGGAAGTGTAGGGAATTTACTTAAACATGTACAGCGAAATTTAATAAATTTCAATTTTCATTCAGGATTCAGCTTTGTATTTAGATAAAAACTGTGATAAGAAATATTCCTTTACTTGTAATTTGCAAACTCCTTCGCGTTATTCTTTTCCAGCAGCTTGAATTTGCCTCCCACAGCTGTCCAATTGTTCAGCCTCCAATGAAATCCACACAGAGAATAGACTGCAACTGTTAGGGTTTCTCTTTTGTGCCAGCAAGAATAATGAAAACCTTATGGATCTCAAATCCTAGCTGTGTATATATATAAACCCAAGCGGACCCGGCCCGGTCCGGTCCAATATTTAATTAATCCAATTAATTAAACCCGATCCGTGAATTAATTAATCCAATTAATTAATTCGGGATTATAAATAACAAATTCAATTAATTAATTTATCCAACGATTGTTAAATTAACCAATTGACAATTTGCAATCTTCCAATTCTCTTTTGTGTGCGACCCATTAGGTTCCCGACCACGATGCCTAACGTCGTGAAACATTTTTTTGATCTAATCAAAATTGATAAATTAATACACCCTTTTAATTTATCGTCAATTCACACTCGCCGTCCCTGATTGACATCTAGCAATGTGTCAGGGCAATACATGTGACGGGAAATGTCACGTGGTATGACAAAACCAAATTCGTTCGTTTATCGTGAAATTATTATCCCTTCGTCAATATGATCCGATCAATTACGAGATATGGAATTGTGTCAATCTCGATCATTGATCATATCTTTCACTCCACTATTAAGTCAACATAAATCGAAAACTCCTTTTCGACTTATGAGTACACTTTGGCCAAGGATTTCATCATCGACTTAATTGAATGAAATGCAGATCATAATCTTCTACTATCTAAGAGTGACGAATCCTTTATTGATCAATCACAACCTTCATACGATTCTTGACGTACCCGAACAATGTCGTATTAGCGGCCTCTTTCAGAGCAACATCCAACACCGCCAAAGTATGATTGTCCTCATATAAGGTATCATGACGACCTCAAATCAAAGGACCAATTCTACTACCGAACGTTAGAGATTAGCAACTGACACTCAGATAGTTATCCATGTGGAATCTCTTAGCGGGTCTCCAATGTTTTGTTCTATAACAAAACATCCACGTGTTCATTTAAGTGTCACCACACTTTAGATCGTGAGATCTGCTACTTACTTCACAAGTAAGAAATGCCACACGTGATGGTCTAACTGTATTAACGATATCCGTATCTCGTTACTACTTACGACCATGATTTATTCAAGATCCAATTATATGTAATTTGTATCTCACAATCACAACTCCTTGTGATTAACAGATTACCTAAAAATTGGATCTTCGGATTCTATTATTTAATATTATTTATTACAAAATTAATTTAAATAAATAATAGATCGCCAAAATCAAATGCATTAAATATATTAAAAGCGTTTACAACCTAAATCGATTGGATCTAGGGCATAACACTTACAGGAAGTACTCGCGATTTGTAGTACTACGTCATCAGGCTTTCGTAATCAATAGAATAATATATGCATTGGATGAAAGATTGTTGGAGGCATATGCATTGTTATTTAGAATCTATGAAAAAGGTTGGATTGGCTGAGATAGAGAACTTTGAAAACTAAGGGATTGATCTAGAATTTTTCTTCCTGATTTTATTTGCTGATTTTCTGTCCAGGATGGGAGGACAGAATGCTAGTGTTTGTCATGGCTATAGAAGCATGAAGCACTTCTTTAGGGATTAACCGATAAAACGATGATGTCCATGGTGTGCATAAGGATTGCAGAAATGTTTTGAGGTTGAACGCGAGACTAATAACAGAGGACGATTATTCAAAACCTGCAGTAATAATTGTGGAATTTTGATTGGGTTGTGAATGAAGAATCAAGCGATGAATCAAATAATATTAATGAGTCAATTAATCCTGCACCCATCAAAGAAGTTGAAGATTTGCCAACCATGTTCGATAGTCTAGCTCAAATAGCTGAAAAATGAGACATTGAGATTTCATTGAACGTGACATTCTGTAAGGAAAGCGAAGCACGGACGTGAATAGCAAAGGAGAAGGCCATGATTCATGTGTATAGAAAGACTGGGATTTGCTGTTTTTTAAACTATGTGTTTTTTGTTGGAAACTATGATCCTTTAATGGCACGGTAGACTTATATTTTGTAGAGATAACTTTTGCTCTTGCCGTATGGTAGTCTTCAGTTATTTTCAATGATAGTTTGTAAGGATTTCATGACTGCTATGGGTATGGGCCCCTTCTTCTTCTATGGCTATTAGTTTATGTTGTGAAATGCTTGTAACTCTTCATGGAAGAGAACGAATGAAGTTAAAAATTACTGGATGTCACTTGGAATTTGTGGACAATGCTGTTGATGGCAAGATATCTCTTGGATGTGATAATTTTATAGACTAGCGTACATGTACAGCTCTTATATGTTTTTAGCAGTTCTGGGAGGTTGATAATTATGTTTTCACCCCATGTGCTTAAATTAGGTCTGGACATTTTAGTTTGGCCTAAGTCAGTTGATTATTGTGACAATGAAACACTGCCTTAGCTTTCCCGTTGAACACAGCATTACATCATTTCTTTTCATATCTGATGGTGCAAGCATTGTTTACTGGTGAACTATTGCTTGTGGTTTCTATAATAAGTGAGAACTCATATGAAACCATATCCAACAATAGCCAATGGAATGTAAAGATTTTATATACTTCATAGAAGTGTTCGAACCCAAAATAGTACAGACAACACTAACTTGAAAAAGAAAATATGAAAAAAATAGTGAGCATAAAAAGGTTCCTCCAGATTTTTGCATTACGGTGTTCGGCCACCAAAGGAATCTTTTCTTAATAGTTCAACCGTCACGTCACTTGTTGTATGAGCTTCCTTTATCGTTGTGAACATACATCACGGCCGATTATGGGGGGCATTGGAAGGATTAGCAATGTATGAAGCTCTGGGGGAAGAATCTATGGCATTTACCTGATAATAAAAACAACAACACAATGGAAAGCTGTTGGTTTTGCTCTTTGAATAAAGTCCCAGTACAGGAAAACCCATATAAGTCCACCGTCAATAAACTATGCATAAAAAATATGGGGTGGCAGACTGGCAAAACTTTCAACCGGCCCTTTTTATGAGTACAAAAAAGTAAATTTGTAACATATGTTTTATCCAATAAAAACATCAGGTAAGTGCTGCACCTACACAAAATTAAGACTCCAAAGCCCAAAAGACTCACATTACGTGGAACGGGAAAGAGGTAGGATATGCTCAATTTTCCAAGGAAGAGATTCTTATCAAAAATTAACAATAATATTAGAGTACTTTAACTATAGTTTTAAAATTCCCATTGATCAAATCTCTTTGTCAAACTTAGCTAATCAAAAGTACAGCTAGAAATATTAAACAGACTATATATTATACGGAGGTAAGTGATATAAACATGGAGTATAATTGGGATCTCGATTACCAAAAATTAAAAAAGAGCCAAGCATAACTAAAAAAAAACATCGTATGTAAAGGTCATAAAATAAGAAATTAAGGAAAAACTTGTACCTCGACAAAATTGAACACCCATCTGATCCAATCCAATAGCCGTGGCACCTGGCTGTGGTAAATATGGCCGACCAAAGTATGGACCAGAAGAACCTAACGTGCAATATGGCAGTAAAGTGTGTTCACCTTGCTTTTTGAATGTGATGTTAGTAGATGACGGGGGCATCAAAGTAGATGAAGGAAATTGGTGGGTAAACACTTGGCTTTCTATGTCACCCTACATCAAATAATAACATGAATACAACTTCAAAAAAGCGTACAATTAAATAAAATCTATATACTAACCAACAACAATTGTGAAAATGAGAATGGAGTCGGCTGCGAACATTGAACTTGTGGAGTGAAATGGACAACTGGTGCAGCGGCATCTATATCAACATGAATATCTCTTTGTCTCTTTTCTCTGCATTTAGTCGAAGTACCTTGCATATACATCGAACCGTAAACGAATTGGTAGTGGATGTCCTTTGTGGCTGAAAAGGTTAATAGACCAACATACCTTTGCTTTTTTTGAAGTTGAGTCCAATGGGCTTTTTTCCGTAGTTTCCATGAAGCTTCCATGATTTGGGATCTAATATGCTCGCTCCAATAGTATTTTGTGAATCAAAGTACATTGACTTGCTATATGAAAAGTTGCCTGGGAAAGAACATCGCTACCACTACTAGACTTCGAAGACCTTAGCTCTGCAGCTTGACATTTTATCCGCTCCATTATTGCATGTGCTCGCCTTTCATCGTTTGCAGCAAGGTCTGCCACCTCTGAAAATGCCTAACACATATCATCGTACATCATCTATTCAAGAGTACTAACTAGCCCATCATAGTTCACTGCAACCTTTTGTGTGGGCTCTACTAATATCTTTCCTCTATCTTCGCACTATGCATTTCTTTGGCATTCTAATGACATCATTTCGATCTAAGACTGTGATCGCATGCATACAAATAATTCCATGAAACTCAAACAGATGGTAGCTACAAATAACTTTACATGTCTTGTTCCGATAAGAGAAAATGAACGTTTTTTCTTCTTGCCACTGGGACATGTAACAGACTCTCGAACCTCATATGTCGTCCCAAAATAACCATCTGAAACTGAAATGACATCGCAATAAACTTCCCTGTGAACTCATCTTGCACTTTCTTGAACTTTGAAATAATGTAAACTGATTGAAATTTGCATCTCCATTTCAAATGTTGTTGCGCACGGTATAAATTGCGAGTATGACTTGAAATCAGCCTGAAACTCCTTTTCGACCTTACTCCGTAGTGCCCTTTCGTACCATTCGGCAAACTGCTTTAATGAGGTCTTCGAATAGATATATCCGTCGAAGAATGCATTCATACTCTCATATCATTACGTCGTGGACATTCCTACCTAGAAATGGTCTAAAAAAAGCAAGTTACTTAACGACGTCTCTTCTCATACAAGCCTGACAACAAATCATTATCGTGCAAGTCAAACCTATCGATCATAGCCATCTAGCCTTTTTCGAATTCATCATCAATCTATGAATCGTATACTAATCCATGCATACATGAAAATATTGAACTTTTATCAATGTGATAGCCAAACTTTTCTGGAAACTTCTTGATGATGTGCAACAAACACCATTTGTGCTTTGTACTCGGAAAGACAATCTCAATCGCATTTTGCATGGCCTTATCTTGATTAGTAATTATTCTATGGGAAGGTTACCCATGCATGCACTGGAGCCATGTCCTAAACAGCCACACAAACGTGCGTGTATTCTCATTTGATAACAAACCACAGCTAAGCAGTGTTGATTGTCTATGATGATTCACTCCAATAAAAGGTGTAAACAACATGTCATACTTATTCGTGAGATACTAATGTCAAATGTGACAACATCACTGAACTCTTTGTATGCTTGCATGGACCTATTATATGCCCAAAATACATTTTCGGGCCGTGACTTATCATCCAAATCTATACTAAAGTAGAATCTTGGGCACCTTGCTTGCATCCTCGAAATGTATGATTGTAGAGCTGCAGCATCCCCTTCTCCAAGTCATAACGTCTCACTTGTTCGATATAGTTTTGACAATCTCTCTCAACATACGTCATATCCTCGTACCCACCTGCTTCTACAACTGTGAAATTGAAACTTTTGTGCAAAGAAATTCTTGCCATATCGTTCAATTCAAGCTTCCTTTTCACAATTGCACTCATTTCGCGGTTGCATTGATACAACCTAGACTTGGAAGAACTAGTGTTATGATTGTGTTCCAAGTGGACAGTGTTAATTCCCCATCTTCGAAGGTTATTTGTAGATGTAGATATCCTAGCTTTACAATTTGTTTGACTTGTTGGTTGTGGCTTCAAACAATGGTTGTATTACTGTCCGTTTGGCCTTCACGACTACATGTGAACGTCACATATCTAATCACGCCATCGTTGTTCTTTTTTGAATTCCTTCTCCTCATAGAAAAGCCAACGGTGTAAGCATATCTTTTATAGAAATCAAACAACTCTTTTTCATTCGTGAATATCATGCCTACCTCCGACACAAACTCTCCATCTCTTCCTAACTTTTCGTTGTCACAACGTTGCTGTTGTCTACAACTCTCCAAATAATTAACAATGTTCAGCCACATGAAAACCAAATACAGCACAACAACTATATATGGAAATTTTGACTTGAAATTTCTGTAAAACAAACATTTCTTACATGACATTTGATGAAAAAAGTTGATGAAAAATTTTAATTACTGCCCCTTCGGCTAATATATTCTCCACAAGGAAGCATCATTAATTTCGCAATTTTAAATATCGTATTCTCATTGGAAATGGATATTTAGTTACATAATCTACACGAAATTTGATGAAAAATTCCTACACAAAAATTGGATTGTTTAGTCCTTATAGAGAAATATTGGTTCTTTTAGTTCACAATTCCAGAATACAATCCTGCACAGATTCTTGCATCTACGAAGTTGAATAAAAATTGAAACATTAAACATTAAAATTGAACACTACTACACATATCTACAAAGGGTGGGGATCATCGCAAATGGGTCGTGATTGGAAAGTACTTTTTGAACGGAAAATGCACAATGTGCCGTGGAAAACAAACTCCGATGGCGTTCGGTCAGAGAAGAGGACACGTGGGATGATTAGCTGTTGTATGATTTTCTCTATTTTTGGAGCGCCAGAAAAATGCTGAGCGTGAGCTCTTTCCTCTCTCTTTAGGTCTTCTATTTGGGAAAAGAAGAAGGAAAATGACATTTCCCTCCCATTTCTCCACTTTTTTCCCGTCTACAGTTTTCCTTCCATTCTCCCATTTTTTATTCAAGACACACTGGCCATTTTTAAACTCTTGTACAAGCTCTATGAAAGTCATTATATACGCCCAGCTTTTTCCAATATTTTAATAATGGGATGCCAGGCTGTAGTGCAGACAATCTCTGACATATAATGTCATACTGTTCATGAAATTATCACATCTTTAAGAATGAACGAGTTGCAATCATTATTCAACATGATTGATCACAAATTATGTCTCCTCGGTACCTGAAATTGTTTGACAATTACAAAACAAATATTACACAAAAGAATTATGGTACACAAACAAGCTAAAATAAAAGTTTAAAAATAGGGTGTACATGTATAAACACATGATTGGTCTGTTTAAAAAAATGAAAACAACAAACACCCAATCATCTGGTACCAAGTTAATCTATTTTTTTCTTATCTTTGAGCCTGTACAAACATCGTATTCCTACACAAAGTTGCTAATACCTGTTCTTTTCTCCTCCCATTACCTTGAAATTGAGATTTGCCATGGTATCTTATATACCTTCTTTTGATAAAGTTGACCATGAAAGAGAAGACAATGATGTGATGACTCAGGTTTATTATTATTCAACACTTCTCTAACTAATAGCTTCCTCCCACAAAAATCCTATATAAGAAGCATGACTAATTAATGAGCAATGAGAACCACAAAGAGCACAAAAGTGGTCTAATGCATCAAGCTCAAAATGCACTTAACTGTTCCATCCAAAGATATGGCATTCTCAAGTTCCAAAGATGACGAAAAGGAAATGAATCCATACACACTATTCTTTCCAGACTTACGACCATGTAATACTCATGAACTGACCGAAATGAATTTATCAAAATAGGAATTTATTCTTAGAAAAATCCTAATTTAGTAAAACCCTAATTTATGAAAACCCTAATTTCGCTAAATGACTTGATTATGCAAACTATGTGTTTAAATGAAAATAATTGCAAAATGATGATTGGAATGCAAAATTGATTGTATTTAATAAAATTAGAAAACACTAGGATCACAAATTCCTATGTAATAATCACTTGAAACCCTAATTTCACAATCTGACAACACAATTTGACTATTGATGACTCAATGCTCCTAAGTCTATCCAACGCACACTCTCGAGCAATATTGAACCTATTCTTATGTACCACCAGCTTATATTTCTATGACGGATGCATATACATGAGAATGGATGGGGTTTTATGAGCAATTAAAGAATCACGCAGAGCATAGATGTATATTTCTATTCCCTATCGGACCCTACGATGATCTATACCTTGTCAAATCTATTTCACTTCTCTCGAATGTAAGAAATAAATCACTACACATCACATAATCGTCTGCACTCAATCTTGGACAAAATTAACGTATATAAATCATTCAAATAATCACATAAGTGTTTAATTGTCAAATGGCAAAAATTAAAATCCAAAAATCATATTACATAGTTCATCGATCTCCTAGCATGAGAAAACTTAGCCTAACATTGAGAATTTAAAGGAATACATGAATTCTTGAAAATAAAATATC